ATAATTACGCCAACAGTCGTAAGGTGTAACGTAATTCAACATTAACACCAATGGGCCTTTAAGCCGACTGCTGGATACAGGTCATACCTAAGGTTTGTACCTAAAATGCGCCAGCTGGAATATTTTGGTGAAAGATTTGATTTGTTTGAATTTCGGTATTTTTATTATTGTTTATTATTTATTTATTTATGCTTTTATGCACAAAGTAGTACATATGGCGGACTTAATGCCATATGGCATTCTCTCCCAGTCAACCATTAGGCTAATCAGAGATAGACATTTTGGAGGCGGTGCAGCAATAATCAAATAGAGAGGATAAAAAATAATATAATAAACAATACATACACATACACACACACACACACACACATATTTTTTCATTTTTTTTTATATATATATATATATATATACATAAATACATACACTATATACACATAAATACATAAATATGTATCTATATATACATACAAAATAGGTACGTATAAATATTATCTATGTCAGAACAAATATGAAATACGAGTATATACGAAAAAAAAAAGAGCTGTGTTATATCAAACTTGCAACGATTTAATCATATACTTACGGACTTGATTTTTAAAAACGAATTTGTTGTGAGCTTTTTTAATATCAAGAGGGTAGTAATGTCGTTCCAGAGTCTGATGGCCGTGAGGGCAAAAGAGTGAGATAAATAACCAGTACGGTGTAAAGGAGTAAGCAACTTAAGATTGGCCGAGGAGCGCAGAGAAAAATTATGAGAAACTTCCAGGTATTGAAATTTAGATTTCAGATACTCGGGAGCACATGGATCGTTCAAAATTGTGAAAAGGGTGCAGAGTATTCTAACATATATGCGCTGCGTATTTCAACAATTAAGACTAAAAAAGTTATATTAAAATTTTATAGAGGTAGAACCACGCTGCAACTGTAATAAAGTTTCAGGACAAATGTTTCAGCTCGGCCGGAGAAACACCACGCTATCACAGAATACTAGCGTGAAATAGCTGCTTAACGCTGCTTTTTCGTGTGGTTAGTAAAGAGAATTGGATATTATATTTACAAGCAACGAGGCATTCTATCTTATTCATCAAGAATAACAATGCATCATAATTTAGATTGTTAATCGAGAATAGATGTTGATGTTTATGGGCCACAGCATCCATCATACTATCTGGTGGTCTATGTACTCGTTTGTTCTCTTTATTTTGCATTATAATGAATTCATATTACCGCTACAGCCTATTAAAGTCTACTGCTGAATATAGGTCAACCCCATAGATTGCCTATAATGGGGATAGTTGCCACAATTAGCAATCGTGTTGGCAATAGCAGTTTTTTTATGTTCAGTCGTTGTTTGGAAGACAATGATCATCATCTCCTGATATGTTTGCCTCTATAGCCTCTTACGACACCCACGCGATGATATGGGGTAGTGGATATTCTTAAACCGCCACTACACGGCTAACTAAATAAATCATGTATATCAGTTTCTCTCCGTCGTCTCTTACGACACCTACGGGACTATATGGGGTAGTGGATATTCTTACACCGCCACTATACGGCTAACTAAATAAATCATCTATATCAGTTTCTCTTCGTCGTCTCTTACGACACCTACGGGACTATATGGGGTAGTGGATATTCTTACACCGCCACTATACGGCTAACTAAATAAATCATCTATATCAGTTTCTCTCCGTCGTCTCTTACGACACCTACGGGACTATATGGGGTAGTGGATATTCTTACACCGCCACTATACGGCTAACTAAATAAATCATCTACATCAGTTTCTCTCCGTCGTCTCTTACGACACCTACGGGACTATATGTGGTAGTGAATATTCTTACACCGCCACTACACGGCTAACTAAATAAATCATCTATATCAGTTTCTCTCCGTCGTCTCTTACGACACCTACGGGACTATATGGGGTAGTGGATATTCTTACACCGCCACTACACGGCTAACTAAATAAATCATCTGTATCAGTTTCTCTCCGTCGTCTCTTACGACACATACGGGACTATATGGGGTAGGGGATATTCTTACACCGCCACTACACGGCTAACTAAATAAATCATCTATATCAGTTTCTCTCCGTCGTCTCTTACGACACCTACGGGACTATATGTGGTAGTGGATATTCTTACACCGCCACTACACGGCTAACTAAATAAATCATCTGTATCAGTTTCTCTCCGTCGTCTCTTACGACACCTACGGGACTATATGGGGTAGTGGATATTCTTACACCGCCACTACACGGCTAACTAAATAAATCATCTATATCAGTTTCTCTCCGTCGTCTCTTACGACACCTACGGGACTATATGGGGTAGTGGATATTCTTACACCGCCACTACACGGCTAACTAAATAAATCATCTATATCAGTTTCTCTCCGTCGTCTCTTACGACACCTACGGGACTATACGGCAGACTAAATAAATCATCTATATCAGTTTCTCTCCGTCGTCTCTTACGACACCTACGGGACTATATGGGGTAGTGGATATTCTTACACCGCCACTACACGGCTAACTAAATAAATCATCTATATCAGTTTCTCTCCGTCGTCTCTTACGACACCTACGGGACTATATGGGGTAGTGGATATTCTTACACCGCCACTACACGGCTAACTAAATAAATCATCTATATCAGTTTCTCTCCGTCGTCTCTTACGACATCTACGGGACTATATGGGGTAGTGGATATTCTTACACCGCCACTACACGGCTAACTAAATAAATCATCTATATCAGTTTCTCTCCGTCGTCTCTTACGACACCTACGGGACTATATGGGGTAGTGGATATTCTTACACCGCCACTACACGGCTAACTAAATAAATCATCTATATCAGTTTCTCTCCGTCGTCTCTTACGACACCTACGGGACTATATGGGGTAGTGGATATTCTTACACCGCCACAACATGGTAAGTAAAAATTATATAAAAATTATAAGCTTATTTTATTCAACATTTTATCGCCATGAATGTCTGTTGAGATTTTGGAATTAAAGGTAGATAAATTACAAGGCCTCCCCGTATAGGCGTATGTTGTGCAGTAGACTAATGAAGGGCTGTATGATGATGATTGTGATGATAAAATTACGTAAAAATAATTAAATATAAATCAGTTAAATAAATCTTCACAGGTATTTTAATGCTGTTTAAACAAAGGCGTTTATATTTATTCGGTCTACTGCAAATTTGAGTATTTAACAGGCTTCCATAATACATAAAACGAAAATCAAAGAATATTTAATGATTTCTTAAATTTACGCGAACACGAGTTTCGGGTGCTTTACAGAACCCATGGTTATGAGGGGGGAGGACTGAGATGTTTGACATCCCAATGTCATAGCCCGGCTACCTTCAGTTTTTGAATATAAATTTTTGGTTCGATTTACGCAGAACGAGCTTGTATGAAGTCTTGCAGTGATATGCTTGAGTTTGGGTTTATTTTTTTTAATTATAGGATCCCAAGCAGATGGCAGCGATTATCCATCTTCTGTATTGATATTAGGATGTTTTTTAATTTCAATAGTCTCGTGTATCAAATCTGATATAATGGTGGGGACGATCTTGAACATGTTAACATACTGCAGACTGCACCGACGCCTCTGGTCCAGCTCCAGGAAGTCACAAAGATACTAAAATTTGCAAGCAATTTCAGTTGCATATTTTTGTATATAATATTACCGCTAAATTGCAGTTAAGCATTATTTAGTTGATACTATTGATAGTTAAATTATAACTTAGCGGAAAAGTTAGAAAAATGACTACATTTTTCTAGTAGTAACATCACAACATTTTCATTAATTTAAAAGTCTATTTGGTCTAATTTAAAAGGTATTTGGAGAATGCCTCATAATCCCTTGCTTGATCGTCTTAATGACAATATTTCGTCGTTTCCACAGCAGCAGAAGACAGCAACAGGCGGGCGGCATAACTGAGATTGCCAATCCAGTTTTTTATTATTTTGAGTCAAAAAATTTCGGATGCCCATCTCCTGTTTCAGTTACCCTGAAGTTAGTAGTAGTTAGTACGTTTTTACGACACATACAGGTGAAATTTATGCAGTTTATGGCCAAAATTAATAAAAATAAAGTTTCGCTTTTTCAAAAGTCTAGCAAAACGTTTGACACTTTTTATTCTAGTGCCTACATATTTGAATAAAGTAGTAATGGTTTAGTGGAATAATTTGTTACAATTTTCAAATTTTTTAAGCCACGTTTAATATTTGTTTATTGAATATTTGGATTAAAATATTATAGATACCATACTTTCAGGTTGATGTCTTTTACTTTGTACTTTTAACAAATAACTAAAACGTTTACATCACTTACAAAAGTGAAGATTTATCGTTTTAAACAAAAGACTACTTTTTATCATCGAATAAAACTATATTTACGGATTTTATAACGTTTAATCAACTATTTTAACTTTTTTTTTAAATTCCCGACGTTTCTGTTCGCGTAAACTTAAGAAATTATTACTTTTTATCAGTTTATTTTTATTCTCATAGTAAAAATGTTTATACTCAACTGTACTTAACCCGTTTGTTTAATATATAAGAAGTACATTTCATTGGCTTCAATAAAATCTAAATTGATACTCAATTTAGCTGCAATTTAGCTGTATACTAGCGTTACCTGAACAAAATGTTACATATGAAATTCAACAACGTAGAGTTGTAAATGTATTCATAATCAATTTCAGGCAGTTCTCAGCATAACATACCAATTAGCGGAAGAAATCTAGTGAACTTTTATTTAATGAGTGTATCTAATGATCACGAGCCTCGATTTGAATGCTTAATAACAAACGTTTGAAAAATTACACACTGTGAAGGCGAATTACCAAATTATACCAAACAAGAGTTATTTCACTTTATTTATCAATATAAAAAATAAGTAACAAGAAGTTTTAAGAAATAAAAAAATTAATCAAAATAAATATAGTAGCTGGCTAAATACATCTATCAATTACCCTTTGCAAGAAAGACAAAGAATCTCTAGTGGACCTGTGGGAAGGCTGCAAAAAGGTTTTGTGGTGTGCAGTGAAAGGTCAAAGCGACGAAAAACTCAAGAATTAAGAAGTAGTACAGGAATTAAGAAGGAGTTAAAATATGCAGCTAAAATTAAGCTTAGATCAGAAGGTAATGTTAAAGCTGCAAAACTTTTAGCTGACATTGCTATAAACAATGACTCAGCGAAAAATTATATTGAGAAAGACGATGTTAAGATTGCAAAACTAACAGAAGACAAAGCACTTTCTTCACTTACTAATGCTAAACTAACTAAATATCAGTCTAACATTATTAGAAGTAATACCCTTGAAGAAAATTGTTACCAATATCCCAATTACGAAAGCATAATGAAGGCAATAAAATGCTGCTATCCTGGTAACATCCTAATAACTGAGAGTCCAGCAGAAGTACCTCTTCAGGATCTCGTCGATCACACACTAAGAAGGTTAGCTATATCACTCATTTACGTACTTTCTAGAGTAGAAAAAAGTAAATTAGAGAACATGTGGCTCATAAGTAAATGGGGCTGTGAGGTTACTTCCGGCCAGGCTGAATATAAGCAGTTATTTGAAAATGCAGATATATCTGATGATTTTTGGATTAAAGGTGCCGGTGCCGGATTAGGGTGACCGGCCTGAAGTGGAAGTTCTGCTTCAGCGTTTTGTCTGGTGAGTGCAGGAGACCAAAGGCCCATTTATCCCCCCCCCCTTCAACGTGGTAGCGGAATTAAATGTTATAAAATGGAGAATCCCTCGCTGAGCATTCAAAACCAAGCTACTTTACTAAGAGACAAAGTATATTGAAGAACAAATTTAGCATTTAACAAATGCTAATCTGGTAATTAATGAGAGAAGTATATGCCATCAAAACATAACTTGTAAAAAAACGAAGTCTCGCAACTCAGTTCTTCTACCGTAAAAAGTTGTGAGATCCATGTAATAGCAAGTCGGTTAATTTATTCAGTCCTTACTTAAGAGTCCTTCTGTTTTAAGTTATTACGTAATAAGCTAACCTAACAACATTGTATAGTGACCATATTAATGTTAAATATCTTTTATGTTTAAAATAATATATATATATTGTATTCTTTTAGACTAACTACGGCAATATACAGGCCAAGTTTTAGACGAATTTCACCTGTGTGTGACACCTACGAGATGATATGGGGGTTGTTCAGCACTGAACATTGCAACGTAGTAGCCCAGTGACCGCGTTACCAGACATTACGCACACTAACAGTTGTTGCTGAGTAATCTTAGCGTATTATGTGAATTTGTATGTGTATTAAACTGTATAAATTGTAACGAATTATGAATAAAACCCTATTTCAACTCTGGACCACGACTTTGTTACTACAGCCGAGACTCCAGGTAAGATCTACCTCTAACTGCGGCCAAGACACTTTTAGCCGTCAGAACCCCTGATCAGTCTTGTGAGTGTGCTTGACTAGCAGTGAGAGGACACCATCACATAACCCTAACATCCTGTCCGTCTGCTACCCTAGGTCTCACAGTGCAGACATTTCGCACTTATCTAATTTATTTAAGTATATTTAAATGGTAGGGCTGGGGTATTAGGGACTGCAAGGAACTGCTAGGTATAGGAACTTAGTTAGGGTCTGTAGGTTCTAATACTCCTACCTTATTCATGTGCAGCCAGGTAGTTGAGCTATTAAAGGGAAACTGGTTTAATTTTTAAGCAAATAGCTACCTGACATTTTGGTCTTTCGAGCTGGAATTAACCCAATAAGAAAAAGAGAGGGCTTTTAGGAAAATAAATGACATCAATTATTGGAATTAATGGCAAGGCGTATAGAGACATAAATATATTGCAAAAAATCAACAAAATTTAATAGAAGCCGCTAATCATCAGACGAAATTTATGTTATCGATTATATCAGTTGTTAACCAAACGGAACAAAGGATTGAAAATAAACTTGAAAGTTTTCGATTAACTCTAAATTAAGCACTTATATAAACGATTTTAACGTGTGATATAGAACAATTGACCTTAATCACATTAAAATACAAGTAATTCAGTCATACCAATTAGCAAGTAATTATATTTCAGAAATGTCTGATTTTTATTCCGGACTAATTAATATTTATTTACACATGTCACCGTTTATAGTATTTTATATAAAACTATCAAACTTAAAAATTATACAATTCTTCCATTCATACACTAGAATAGCAGACAATTGTTTGCCTATTTCCCTATACAGGAAACAACCAAATATATACTGTTATGTGTCACAGCAGTTCCTAATTCTAACGAACTTAACGGCTCGTTTAAAACTATTTTAATAAATCATCCAGTTTGTGGAATAGATTAAAACAATGAACGATACAACACTGACATATACATAAAAATTAGGAAAAACGTCTAAAGACCCACTGTAGAGGAGGGGGACATTTGGTAACTTTTAAGACACTTTAGTAGAGGGTGTGGGGCATTTTTGGCATTAGCGGCCATGGATAACAGTTACTCATGTAAACGAGACGGTTATAATACCGTCATGTAACAGAAACTATGATGATGACCACCATCATGACGAGCTTTTTCAGCATTTCCTATAGTCACCTCTTACCATATCCACGTGATGTAATGCGGTGGCAACATTTAGGCAATGAGTCCATATTTGTGAATACTGAATACCCACTTCGGGTGGGCATCACCTTGTGTTAATCAATTAAAAAAAATGACGGAGATAGAAAAAGATCCTCAGTCTCTGATGAACGCCAGTTCAATTTATCCTCGATTAAGAATTAAAATGCAGATGCGGTCGAAGATGGAATACCTCGCCATGAGATCTATCTGGCATTTTGGCTAGTCGCCTCTTACGACCAATGGAATCCAGTATATTGGATAACGATGCCACTACAAACAATACAACTGCTATATTGTTCAAACTGTCTTCTGGGGAAGCCCCCGTAGGAGTCCAAAGTTAACATGGGCCTTTCCCGTTGTATGGAAGATTTGCACAAATTATCACGGATGGAAGGTGGATTGATAATCACAGTATCAGACGTCATGAAACTTTGATGCTGCTCCCGTCGTCAATTATTTTCTATCGCAATTCGTAAGATATTTCAATGATTTTCCATAGCCGCTACTTCCGAGTCCAAGGGTTTCAAAAAGAATGATCGACCCAATTACAGCAGTAAACTAATTATTGTTGTAAGGAAGCTTTAGATATTTTCACGAAAAAGGTTTTCATTAAAAATTAATTTCTCTAACTGAAGTCATTATTTAAATTTGGTTACGAGTATTTAAGTCGAGATAGTGAGAGTAATAAAATTGATTCGGCTTCAAATCTAAAAATATAATTAATTGCTTAATTTACTGACATTACAGGGCGGGGTTTATTTGTCAGGAAAGTTTTGTAATACGCCTTATATAAAGATTTTACGTACATAAGTCGGATGTAACAAAAAGCAAAGTTCAATGCTTTTGTACAAATAAAACAAACATTTGCCGTTCCGGAAGCATTTAGCACGATTTTTAAGCTATTTTGACAGTCGTAGACTTTTCATGGAGACATTATGAAGATGCATGTAATATCCCAAACATTTACAAATATTTTATTGTTTCAAAATATGAAATTACGCATAAGAAAACTTGACATCCTTCTATAGTTCATAAAATAGTTTAAACAAAAAAGCAAAAAATGTATTCTACGATATTCGACATTTGTTATTATCATCTCGGGCCTCTGAACGAATTTAACACAAATAATCGACCACATGGGAATATGGAGTTGTTGGATAACGTGTTTCAAATAATTATAATATATATTTTGTTTATTATTATAAAATCCCTTTAATTTAAATTTAAGCGCTCAGTTCAATTGTCGATTTTTTGTTTTAATTTAATAGGCAATTTTATAACTTACAGTTTATCTGATTTTACTAGGTGAAAGAACTACTTTACCGACTAGGAGTACATCTGGGTAGGTACTACTTTTATATCTACGTCTGTCATCAAGTGGCAGTGCTTTAACTTCTGTGATCCAGTCTTAAAGATAAAGAGAGCCAATAGGATTACAGGCTGTCAGGAATTCCATTTTTGTCCTCTGAGGTGACAACACATCGGCAGGCTTCTCAATTTGAAGTTAGCTTCAGATGATCATGGACTGCGGCAGCCACTTTCCATCACGTGGACTGTAAGTTTTGTAAAATTGGTTATTGCAGCACATGGAAATCCACAACTAACTTCAAATACTGCGATTGAGTGAAGCACAGAAGCTTTCTCTTTACGTCATTTAATTTGTGAGGTACACGTTTGTCAAGCTTCTTTATTAAATCACACATATCAATAGCCAATGCTAGCTAAGCAGCTGTTTGAAACTGATCCGCTTCATTAAGAATAACAAAGGTGCTCAAAGTCTTCAGTTCCTTATTTTATTATAAGATGAGGGTGACAAACGAACACACAGTCCACCTGATAGTAAGTGGATACTGTGGCCTACAGATATCTACATCTGTCCCCGGTTAAGAATCAAAATGTAGATGCATTGTCACCTATGAGGACTAAGATATGATGCCTTGTTTCCAGAAAAAAGGGTCTCCGGTTCTCTACACTCACTACATGAAACACTTCAGCATTAAGTTGCTATTTTACGCTGGTATTTTGTGAGAGCGTGGTCCTTCCCCGGTCGAGTTAACCCATTTGCGGTACAACTATAATATAGTTGTAGCATGGCTCTACCGCCTATAAATTGTACGTTATTATCAACTTTCTTCTCCGGGCGGCCACAAGGTATATTTAAGAGGTTAAAATTTTCCGAACGAATTCGATTAAACCAATAGCGCACAGTTTATTTGGAAGTAGTGCTAGGTCCGTATAGGTCATTGATATTGCATGTGTTTGAGACGCGTTGTCACCACGTCGAATTTGGATTGGTTATACATATGCATAGCCATATTGCATTTAAACGAATAATATGTATTAATTTGTATTTAGGAATTTGAATTTGAATTTGACACCCAAATTAAAACCAAAGTAGTTCAAAAGGCCAGGTTAACAAAACGACGATTTCATAAAGACCTAAGATTATACCAAATATGAAACACCTAGATCAGTGATTGGGAGAAGCATTACGGGCAGTAGAGAAATGTGTGATACCGATATTGCCTTTTTCCATAAAACTTCCATATTTTTAGAGTTCAGATATTCAGCTTGCAGACTGCTTACATACCGATGAGATTTAGGAACAACAAATAGTATGTACTTCTTCTTCATCAGCATGTAGAAGTCCACTGCTGGATATGTTCTTCCCCCATTGTATGGAGTAAAGTTACATTCTATATACGTCCCACTGCTGGGCACAGGCTTTCCCTAGAGGGTTTTAGGGCAAGGAAGTGTCCACCGCGCTGCCCCAACGTGTGTTAGCGAACTTCACAGGTCTTCGAAATATTTTTTTTTTCTTATTCCTCAGACATGCAGGTTTCCTCACGATGTTTTCCTTCACCGCCGAGCACGTGGTAAATCAGCACTTAAAATTGCAATTAACAATTCATTGGTGCCGGCGGGGATCGAACCTTGGTTACTCGCGTTATCTTATATTTATAGCGAGCGTTAACCATCTGAACTACCACGGCTCTCTTTGGATTGTATGGACGATTCT